CCTTGATTTCTTATTTCATAAAAATGAATATGAGAACTTCTAAGTAACAATTGTTTATATTTCACCTGCTTGAGGTTGAATAAAAATTGTCTAGTATGATAGGCTTGAGAGATTGCACGCGCACTAAGAAAAAGCAGTTGATACCCGTTTTCCTGCAAAACACAGAGTCCATTTAAGATACCCTGATGTTGTCCCTACCCATGAGTCACAGTGTAAGGATGTGGAACCTTTTGGTGCTCTAAAACTCCTAGACATAAGGCATTTCCTAGCTGATAAAATGAATGCAAATGGATAAACCTAAGGCTTGAGATGTTGCCACCGATTAATTTTCATGGTTTGCACCCACCAGTTTCTTCATGAGCGGTGAAGAGTGACTGACTATAGAGTGCTATCAAATCATTGAGAAGCTGAAAATATAACAAACCTTAATAGCTGAAAATAAATGTGTAACGCCTGTTTGTGACCAATCCATCCCAACCATAGGCATGAACTGACCTAGAACATCTGATCTGCAGTAAAAATATGAAAGGATATGTGAATCAATCGGGAGAATGAATAACCCTTAGCTAAGCAAGTCTTAAAGAAAAGAATAGATCACAATGAAAACCAATAGCAATAATTGCTAGAAGCAAAAAGGAGTTACGTGATGCAAGCTAACTTCAGTACCTAGTGAACCAAGAGTAGAACCATGGATGAGGAGAATTAATTCGGAAAAAGAAAAAGACATTAGCAAGTTCTACAAGTTTACAATTTAGGTCCCAAGAAGTTCAAAATAGTACTCGATCTATCAACCAGCTAATGCTAAGGCCATGTACACTATGAGCAAAAAAGTGATAAGAAGCTGGGAAGAAAAAACACCTCTGTGAACCTTCTAAACAACATCAACATCCAATGCACTGGCAGTTAGAAATCCAAGTTGGGATAATTCTTTCTTGGGCTATGAAATTACTTAAGGTTTTAGAACAGTCAAGAGTTTTACTTGTCCGGTTATAAGAACATCAGAGCATGCAACCAAAACACCCCATCATTATTCACCAACTTATCTCACCCAGTAAACTGAATTATTTACTTTGCTTCCTATTAAGGGAGTAATGCTAGACCTAGACCAATAACAGTCCTCTTCAACTCCCTTAATATGAAAGCCTGTCTCAAACCAAGACTTGGCCTACTGCCATTAGACATTAAAATTTATGCTGGGTGGCGTATTCAAGTTTTCTTGGGATATATTTTCATATTTATTGCTTTTAAAGTGGAGTAATTATTTGCGTATACATTTAGCATACATATTTTCAAGAAATTAGATTCTTCTTTTTTTCTCCTCTCCTGATGACTCACTGGAGATTTAAGAGTGTATTATCCAGCCCACCAGATAATTCTCCTCTCAGGTGAAGTGAAACTGTTGCTCATCTTTTGAAAGGGGAACAGGTAGCACTCAGTACAGAGGCCGTGATAACTAGTTTCCAATTCTTTTTAGGTTACTAATCTATACAACCATATTTTAGTTGTAAATACTGCTAGGCAATTCTCTTATTGATTTAAATAATATCAAAATGAAGTAAAACATGAACCTGAAAGTTTTAGTCCTTCAAAATAAAGTGAGAAACAAAACTCTTTTGCATTATGATGAAAAATTAAAAATAAAAAAACCTTACTTTGTAATTGTTCCATCCACATCTGAGATTACTATACGAGTGTTCCATTTCCACAAATAAATTCTGGCATCAACCTGTAGAGTAATGCAATTTAAGGTGGGCGGAAAATGAAAGAATGAAAAACAGAAAACAATAAGTAAAGAAAAATTCAATCTAAAATTGCTATGCACCAGTAAACAAGAAAAATGAAAAAAAAAAAGACCTCTTGCTCCCCTAGCATTGCAGTGGAGAATGTGAAAGTAACAGTGTTCCTCCCTTCCTTCAGATTCAGAGATGCCAGCTGCTCGGAAGTTGGAGTGATTGCCCTAACCATCTTCTTTGCCATCTTGGGTTTACACACATTATTAGCTTCATTCAAGCCATCAATGCTCTCTGAAGCGACCTCAGCATCAGAACTTTTAGTATCACTTTGGGCTGGTTGTGTAGCCTTCCTGGATTTTGATCTTCTAAGAGAAAAAGGCCAAAGCCTCCAGCTTCCACCAGGGGAAACAATGGATTTTGAAGGATCCCCTACAAGAGATTTCTCAACTCGGTCAACCGGTATCATGCCTTTTGGCTCATTAATTTCTTTAATTCCAAATGCAACCATCCCCAAGACAAATGGAGCAGCCACATCCCATGGGAAGTAATGGCCACCAATTCTGACAACAAGCCTATCATTCTTCAAAACAGCAGGACCTGGAGAAGTAAATTTCTCTATATCTACTTTTTCAGCATCAAATGCCTGAGAAGCAGCATTAGCACCCATTCCTTCCCATAACAAGTGTTTGCAAAGAGATACCTCTGCATAAAGCACAATGCATGTGACTTTCTAGATATTTTCAGCAAAAAACTTGCAAACCAGAAACAAATGAAATTATTCCATTTGTTCTGGGAGAGCAACTATAGGAATTCTACACACCTACAGCAAAGACTCACTAGCAGAGGGAGGCAATGAAAACAACTTAATTATAATCTGTTGAATATTATAATTGAAATTTAAAAGTAAATGGAACAATTTCATTTCATTGCACAGTCCAAATGCAAAGAAAATTACAATATGAAAATGTAAATAAGATGAATGCATCTTGAAGTTCTCTTACCAACTGTAGGACTGGAAAGAGCACTTTTGAGCTCTTGACTATTGTCAATATTAGGCTGTTCTTGTGCCAGTTGTTGTTCTTTGTCAGCATCTGACTTTATGCAGCTAGAATCGTTTTCCTTGAGCAATGTCCAGTTCAAGGGTTCAGAATTTAAGTCCAACGAATGGCTAACAGGAAAATGATAAGCATCCGCACTCAAGTCACTAGTAGGATACCACATATTTGGCAATGACTCTGCCAGTCGCCCAAGTTCTTCAACAGCCTTATGACTTCCAGGAACACTAATGGGACTTGACATTACTCTTAATTTCTCCATTGAGTTTTCAAGATCAGTCGATGGGTTGTATTGAGCAAACATATCTGAAGAAGAATAAGACTCATCGTTTGCATCGACTAACCCATTGACTGCTTTGATGCCTTCACCACTATAGGCTAGATGATTATCTTTTTTTAAACAAGCTGGAGAACTTGAATCAACACAATGAACCTCGTTGAATTTGAATTCATCAAGGTCACTGAAAAGGAATTGTTCTTCCTCTAAACTCGCCAGTGGTGAATCACTTCCTGCTTTATCCATGACAATGTCACTATAATTTCTTTTGGAATCACCAATACCCAAAGACTGATGAACATCATCTGTAATATTTAACCCATCCTGAACCTCAGAACTGACATTTAGAGTGGCGCAAATATTCTGTGAGTCTACTTCTTTGGTTGAACAGAGTGCTGGGTCAGCACAGACCATGTCAGGATAAGATTCTGGCATTATTATCGGGTTTGCAACGTCCGTATCAGAAACCTCTGCCAGTTCTTTCTTCAGATCAATATGCTTTGCTTGCTTGACATCAGTATCCTGACAAGAGCTACTAATAACTCAGTCACAAAAAAAAGCAAGGAGGACTGGACTACCCATTTTTCACCCCTTTCCCCCGCCTACAGTTATATGCATCATCTAAAAAATTATTGAGTTATTGAATAAGGATAACGATCACTAGACTTTCACATATATTAAATTGTAATGTTCTTTTGCAACTAATAGTAAAGATCATGGTAGAGATTTACCTTCAATAGTAGCTCAGTTGTCACATGTACAGTCTCGACAGGAACATGGACTTCCCCACATCCTCCACTGGTAAGGTACAGTGTTTCTTGAGCCTGATTATTTGAATTATCCAACCCAATTATTGAGCTCTCTGATGTTTCACAGTATACAAAGGATTGAACTCTGTCTGATCCACTCTCCTCAGAAACTCTACAACCTGGACTAATAGGATCCTCTTCATCACAAGCCTGTTCTTCATCAGTTAGCTTTCGATGACATTCTTCAAGCTCACATTCAATTAGTGAAACTGGGCAGGCCTGGTCAGCATTCCCTACACCAAAATCGTCAGCTGCTCTTAATATTTCAGATACTATTACACAATCTGCTTCCACGGTACTTTCACCAAATAAGGAAGTTTCAACAACTTGTTCCATGGTGTCTATACATGATGTTTCTATGCTAGCTTCCACAGTAGAAGTCTCCAGGTTCTCAGAGCTAGAGAAAGGACATCCATCCATTTGCTCTATTAAACAAATAGTTTCCCTGTCTGATACAGAATCATCAGTCCTGTTCTTCCTATCGTCATTCACAGAGGATTCCACCTGGATTTCATCATCTTTTACCTCTATATGTTCAACCACTTTATCATCCAAAACATCATCAGCAGAAAACCGGGAAGCATTATCTTTCCTGCACTTACTAGAGGCCAAATTGGTAGACCACTTCACCTCCAATAGATCAGCTGCAATCTCAGCACGTTCCAATGAACTTAGCCTTGACATGCTAGCATCGCCTTCTCCCTCCTTATAGCCATTATCCTTCATAGACCTCCGTCCAAGAACAAACCCGAGCAACCTTGCCCGGCGAGAACCAGACCTAGCCACAACCTTCTTATTACTAGCATCAATCTGGTCAGCTGAATTCACCTCATCAGCATCATAATTGCAACTTTTGGACTTCATTGACCTCCTATTACTATTAGATTGCCAATCCGTTTCATCACTGGAAGACGAAGGATATAGTACATATTCTCCTTCTTCAACATCTACCTCCTTGAGAAAGTAAGCTTCCCCTTTATGATCAAGATACATGTGGAAATCAGCTTCAACTCCATTAACACTAATAGTAACAACCTTCTCTTTTGTCTTCAAAACCCCCTGAAATTTTCCAAACTTGACATACCAAGGCGATGATTTGAAGCTCCCATCTGGTTGTTCCACCACTATTATATCCACAGCTCCACCAAATGGATGAAAAGGCCCAGACACCGTGTACACGCCCCGCGAGATATAGCTCCCTATTCTCCTATACATCCTCTTATTTGCCGATTTCTCAACCACACCTTTTAAAACAATCTCAATAATTAATTACTCAATCATAGTTTAAATTGAACAACCTGAGCGATCCATCGTCTGAGGACGCTTTATTATTTCCACTAATTTCAATTCGTATATCACCCAGATCAACAAAAACCTCAAAATCAGAGCATAATCAACAAACCCAGTTGATCACAAGTCAGAATAATAACATACAAAATAATATACCACAGAATGAGAAGAAAAATAAAAAATTAAAGACTGTCGAAATTCATAAGCTGTTGAATACTGAAAAAGATTAATCAAAGACCAAACCCAGCTCAAAGACAACCCAAATGAGGAGAACTTATAACCAAACAAATTGAATTAAAAACCAACCGCCGAGAGGAAGAGCAGTTGGTGTAATACAGCATATTCGCATTTAATAATACGAATGTGCCAAATTAACAATCATTAAATTCCAAGAGATAAAAGGACAACACATTTTTATTTTTACTCTTATTTTATAAACATAAAACAACAAAAACTACTCTATTAATAATTAATAAAAGTGATAAAATGGAAGAAATAAATTGAAGTGGAGATGGAGGCAATGGTGACGATAGTTAGGCGATCTCGACAGTGAGAACTTCTGGTGGTTTCTTGTAAATGAAATGAATATGATAGATTTTCCATGATGAAATGGTGACACGTCAGCAGGGAGAAAATGTATGTACGTGAAGAGGATGGGGCCAGAACAAGGTCCTAGGTAGTGCCAGGTCACAAGTCTTGTGTTCAGTTTATCTTAGCGGTGTTGGGACCAAACTGCTAGTTGGGTAAGTGCGAAAACTGTCTTCTCTAACCAACAGGTTTCAGGTTCTCCTGGCCCTGCTACAAGTTTATTACACCAATATAAATCAGTTTGCTTATCTAAGTGCGAAAAACTGGAAGATTTTAGGACCTATATATACATATATGATATAACAATACTTTTAAGAAATTAAAAAGAGAATCAGCATATCACCTCAGTATCATACAATAATTTGGACTGTTACTTGTTAGATCCAATCTACGGCTAGCTTTAACTTTAAGGCGCGATTATGTAAGGTTTGTTAAATAGCTTCTGTCAAATGAATTCAGCACGGACTTTGTGAATGATAATACGTTTGGTTGTAAAAGAAGCAGATGACATGTCGTCTATATCTACCTAGACCTTTTAAATATTTCAGTGCACCTGTCGTTTTATTGATGTATTCCATATAAATTAATGGGGTGATCCGGTGTATCCAGGAGAATATTTTGTTAATTCAAAATTGGTTCCCCCTTAGCACTTCGTCTTCGGAGCCAGAACACTACGTAGTCCGAAATACAATCACCTTAATTCATAAAATATATTATGTCGTTCTCTAATATCATGCATGACATGTGATGTTCATATGAGAAAGGTATTTTGATTCAGTAAAAAAAAGTGCTTTAACAAGTGCATCTAGAAGCTTGTTAAATACAAATAAAGAGCACACTTTTACACCACATGTTTTCTGCAGTTCAACTAGTCCAAGTCCCTGTAGCTGACTTGTAGTTGTTGGTAAGTCTAATAATAAAGGCCCCTTGGCTTTCGTTTTTCGTCACGTCACACAATACTGGCAGCCTTGGTCCGGCTCTTGATTGAATTGATGATGAGTGCGTTCTGTATTCTTAACATAGAAGACTACTGAAATCTTAATTAATTTAAAATATTTGTAAAAGATTTTAATAGACATTCCATATTGTGATTTCTGTATTTTACTTTTTATATTTTTGGGCCATAGAACTAGTCTAGCCCAACCAAGGTCCACTAGTCCTGTTGGGTTGGTAGTTTAGGTGCAAATAGAACTTAACGAAGCCCAAACAATCATGTGATTGTTTTAGACCAACCCACTTATCGATTCTTGTAATTACAAAAAGAGTTTCAAAAACAATAATGCTATGGATATCGGGACTGTGCACTAAATTTTTACATCGAATTACATGTTATCACACTCAAACCAACCATGTTCACTTTAACAAATATTTTGCGAGTGAACGGCCGTTCATCAACTATGGATGACCGTTCACTGTTATTGGACGGACGTCCATCAAAAGTGGATGCCCATCCATGCAAAATGAACGATGGACTCCTGTCCATATCCATATACTATGGATGAGTGTCTACCTATAATGGGTGCCCGTCCATAATTTAAATTTAAAAAATTTGAAAACAAAAATCATGGACTCCCGTCCATATTCAATGGACGGGGGTCCATACTAATGAACAGGCAAACACCTTTAATAGACGCCCGTCCAAACTATAAATTAAAAAAAATTAAAATCAAAATTAATGGACGTCCGTTTAAATGTTATGGACGGGCATCCCTTAATAATGGACTGGCGTCCACCATTATTGGACGCCTGTCCAAACTTTAAATTTAAAAAAAATTATGCTCAACTTAATGAACGCTCGTTCAAATTTTTTGAACGGGCATCCCTTAATAATGGACGGGAGTCCACCTTGAGTGGACTGCAGAAATTTGTATTCCCAAACTCGTAAAGAGTCATTCTTGAAGGCTCCATATGCCATTCACTGAAATCAAAGCTTTTCTCTAACTCATCTAACACTGCTCTTCGTAATACCATTACCTTCAAGAACTGATGTAACTCCATTAAGTTGAGCATAATTCTTTTTAAATTTAAAGCTTGGACAAGCGTTCAATAACGGTGGACGCCCGTCCATTATTAAGGGATGCATGTCCGTAACATTTAAACGAGCGTCCATTAATTTTTTTTTTTTTTTAATTTATAGTTTGGACGGGCATCCATTGAATATGAACGGGAGTCCATGATTTTTGTTTTCAAATTTTTTAAATTTAAACTATGGACGGGTGTCAATTATAGGTGGACAC